GATTCAAGAGTGAATATATCAGACACAATCCCTGACCTAAATATTTTGAAGGCAGAGTAAACCTATACTAAAAATACTTTTAAAATGCTAATATATGAACAAAAAAGATCCCCACAACAATGGGAATCTCAATTCCATAAAGCCCACTAACTGGACTGTTAAGTTTTGTGCTAGAGGAAAACAAAAGCATTGTAAATTATTAATTAATAACAATGGAGCAATTGTTTATGTGATAACATGATTTCTTTATGTTTCTGGGGAAATTCTGAGTATGAATCTACATGCCATACATAACTAGACAGGAAAACAGTTCCAGATAAGAAGAAGAAAAACAGAAAAAATAAGTACAAACAGTTTTTGTGGAATCACAAACAGTTACAATCGTGGAACAGACCTATTTTAGGCAGATGGTGGGAAAAAAGACAGCAAACATGTAAAACACAATTAAGAAATAAGAAGAGAAACAAGAAATAGAACAATAGGAGAGAAAGAAGTGAAATGAAAAATCAAATGATGCGATAAAAATATTACTTAGCATACAAATAAGCTTCACACATGTTTTGAATTCAAGGTAAGAATTTGAGGAACAATGAGAATTTCTTTCCAGAATCTCCTAATGAGTTGTGAAGCTCACAAGTTAATCAATTCACATATAGCACAGTATAGATTTAGCTGAACACAAAAACAATGGTAATTCAATGCTACCCGAAACAGCACACTGAGTGTCAACTCAATTATTGGGTTGTCGGAAAAGTCATGATGCAATACATGCTCCACAATTATGTATGCATCTATGACTGATTAGCATTTAGATATTATAATAAAAATGCCTGATTCTTAAATATTTAAATATGCTATTTCATTATAAATTACTCTCTATTTTTAATAAAAAAGTAGGGGAGTATATTGGTTTTTAATTTATGCATGTAAGTAGGTTATATCATCTATGAATTTCAGTTCAGGATAGTAAAAGGGATGATAAAATAATTGTTATAAAAGGGGGAATTAGGTCAATTGGGTTTGAGAATATAAAGCATGTATATTTAGGAGTAAACTTTTTGGGTAATAAGGTCTGTAATTCTTAACTTTACTAAATAAACTGTTTCCCTCAGTGTTGCAATATAATTTATAATTCCACTAGCACTATGTGACAGTTCCAGTATTCTATATCCTTGCAAATACTTGATACTGTTACCAATTTGCTGGGCAAAAATATATATCTTATTGTGGTTGTACTTTATATTTCTCTGATCATTAGTATAACTGAGCATCTTTTTTATTTAATTGACCATCACGGTTTCACTTTTTAAATAAAGCTCTTATTTAACTCTCTGGCCTGTTTTTCTATTGGATTAAAAATGCTTAACTTTAAGAATTCTCTCTGAGAAAGAATAAAGTGCACACCACACCAGCAACAACCAAAGACCAAAACCACAAATAAAGTTAGGCTTATTAATCAGACTATTTTAAAATATAAAGTGGTATGGCAAACTTATCAGAAAGGTAGACAATCCAAAAGAAAAAAAAAAAGCTTTTCTAAAGTGGAACTTACTCATAGAGAAAAAAGGTGACAAAACAGGTTGTACCCAAATTTCAGTTACTTAATACTCTGCAAATAATAGCATTATCTTGGGGAAATTTAACCCTTTGGCAATCATTTTGTTTCTAATGCTAATTTACTTTCAACTATTTGAATACTATACTATCTAATCACATCACTAAAATCTACAAACTATAGAATTTCTAATTAATTAAAACATTTTTCTAAGAAAAATTGTCTATTCAAACTTTGAAAATTACTGAGCTGCTGAGTGTGCTAAGAAGCTTATAAACCAACATGTCTTATCAGTTTATATCTTTCATTCTTATTATATATTGTCTCCTATAAAACAGAATTATGTTTGAACAATAATTTCATTCTTTCAAAATGCAAGTCTATTAACTCTAGTTATAAAACTATTAGTGAGCTTATACTGTACAAGGATGTATACACTTAGGCACTGTGCTTCTATAACAGCCATCTAAATTTGTGTCCAACCTCTATCATGCTGGGGCTAAGTCATTCAGGTAGTGATAAAATACTACTCAAACTAGAAATGCTGCATACTATGTAAAGTTCTACTAAGCAAACTCTCAATAAAAATATGAAGGCTATAAATGACTTTAAGAGTTAAGCTTTTCCAGCTTCTACACAATAAAAGAAACAATCAACAAAATGAAAAGTCAACCTATATAATTGGAGAAAATATTGGGTTGTCAGAAGAGTAATGACGTATTTTTTCTGTTATTCGTTGCAAAAATGCATCATGACTTTTCCGACAACCCAATATTTGCAAACCATATATCTGATAAGGTTAAATATCCAAAATATATCAGAATTCATTCAACTTAATAGAAAAAAATCCAATTAAAACTGAACAGAGGAATTTAATAGACACTTTACAAAGACATACAAATAGCCAATAGGTACATGAAAAGGTGCTCAACATCACTAATCATCAAGGAAATGTAAAACAAAACCACAGTGAGATATCATCTCACTCGTTTTAGAATAACTATCATCAAAAAAATAAGAGATAAATGCTGGCAAGGATGTGGAAAAAGGAAACCCATGGATTCCTCACCATATAGAAGTCTCTATTTCAATAACGAAGTCTACAATAGGTTTTCATTTCCTAATACTCATATACCTTAAATAACACCTAATTACCCAATTAACTCATGGATGGTGAATTAGTGCTACACTAAATTGTACTCTAAAATAGCAAAATTGCACACCAGCTATACCCATATTGATTGAGAAAATGTTTAAAATTTTAGGGAGTAAAAATCACTAACTAAATGCTTATTCTGGTAGGATATTTGTAACACCACTTTATAATTAATAAAAACTGCCAAATTGAACATTTTAAAGCAATACATTTACATTCTAAAGTAAACAGGCTCACAGACTCCTAATAGATTTTTTTTGGTTCTGTTTCTTTTTTTTTTTTTTTTAAAGATTTTTATTGGGATATTGGGGGAAGGGGAACAGACAAGTTGCTGTTGTTTTGTTCTTCAGTCTATTTGTGGAGGACATTGCTTCACTGGCCCAAGTTGGCACCATCATTGCGCTCTTCCCAGGAGAGGCAGATCAGTCGCCGGCTTCTGGACGGCAGCTCACTGCGGCTGCTGGCCGCTCACTGCGGCTGCTGGCTGCTCACGCTGGCTGCCAGCTACACACGGTAGCCCATGGCAACCCACTGCCACAGGGGCTGCAGCCTACACCGTCGCTGGCGACTCACGGCAACCCAGCTCCAGGTTGAGCTGTTGTTCAGCATCTCAGCTGTGGAGGGCAGTGTCACTGGCCCTCATATGTGGGATCCGAACCAGGGCCCTCTGGCGTCCCAAGCCAGCTCCCAACCATCGCGCCACCCAGCCGGCCCTGGTTCTGTTTCTTTACCTATTCAACAAACATTTATGGAGCACATGCTATGTGCCAGGCACCATGTCAGGAATGAGGGATAAAAGATAAGGTCTCTGCCCCTCAAAGTGGGCACAGTCTAGTGAGAAGCTCCCATTCTGAAATCAAAAAATTTATGATGAGAAAGGACCTTATAGTTTCCTTATTTCACCAATAAGGAAACTAGGACTCACGGTTAATTTAGCTACTAAGACAAACAGACACTCAGGTCTACAGATTTCCTGCCTCATGTTTTCTTTGCACCACATTTTTTCTGACTACTAACAGTGATGATGGTGTGCTTCCATGTGTGTGACACACGAACATGGAACTATGGGCAATGTATGTAATAGTTGCCAAATTAGAGACAGAATTCCTTATTACATGTGATATTATGATAAAGCCCTTATAAGAAACTGAAGACTTAAATAACAAACTGAAGAGCAAAATAAGGCAATATAATGGTAAGCCTTCTAATCCATAATTATGGTTTTGCCTCTGTTTACTGATCTATAAAACGGGGATATTAAAAGTAGTTATTTCATATGATTATTATGAAAATTAAATTTAAACCTGAAAGTACTTAGTAAGCCTAGTACCTAGTAAATACTCAGTAAATGTTAGGTATTCTTATGGACAATCATAACTTAAATGCATGTGCATCCTATAATGACAAACAAAAGAAATAATTTTTCTTTAAGGAATTATCTGATTATTAAGATGGTCTTGGGACGGCCAAATGGTGCGGTGGTTAAGAGCTGGCTTGGGACACCAGAGGGCCCTGGTTCGGATCCCACATATGAAGGCCAGTGACACTGCCCTCCACAGCTAAGATGCTGAACAACAGCTCAACCTGGAGCTGGGCTGCCGGGAGTCGCTGGCGACGGCATAGGCTGCAGCCCCTGCTGCAGTGAGTTGCCATGGGCTACCATGTGTAGCCAGCGTGAGCGGCTGTCCTGAAGCCGGTGACTGATCTGCCACGCCTGGGAAGAGCGCAATGATGGTACCAACTTGGGCCAGTGAAGCATCGTTCTCCACAACTAGACTGAAGAACAAAAAGACAGCAACTTGTCTGTTCCCCTTCCCCCAATTCCCCAGCGCTGTTCCCATCCCCCAATTCCCCAATAAAAAATTTTAAAAAAAAATCTTTAAAAAAGATGGTTTTATTTTTCTAGCAACTAGTAAAATCTAGCACTAACACATGTATTTCTGAAAAAAATTTTAATATGCATAGTATCTAACAGTATCATCCCTTTCTCTATAAAGACATATCAGTCCTAAAATATAATGAAATTATTTATTACATTGAATCATAATTTAAATTAAATCATCATTTAGGTCACTATTCCTAAGATTTTAAATCCTAAATATTAGAAAATGTTCAAAGATGACTTTCAAATAATTAACAAGTTTATGCAGCTTTTCTCATTTTATATAAACTATTATTAATTAACATCTTTGAAATAACCGTGCATTGTATACATTAACGACACTATTTTATATTAATATCAATCATCATCCAATATCAATAACAAAATAAATATTTGTATCCACTTACTGCAATCTCTCTACAAGCTGACATGGATATTCCTGTTCCTTCGATTTGCTTCAATGCATACTCCTTTTCATCTTTTCTGCATATGAACACAAAAAAAATTATTTTTTTGTACACATTACTTTCAAATTGAAAATTATAACTACAAAAACAATGAAAATGCACTAGTCTTCCCATGATACGTAAATACTCTCACTGTGCATGCATTGCTTATTATTTCTGATATTTCAACTACAGAAATATGAAATACCAAACAAAATTCATGTCACAATGAAAATACCAGACAGAGCCAAAAGACAAAATTCAAAATTGAAACAGAACAGGATACTAAACACAGCACTAGTTTCAAAAAATAAACAAACATAAACTCAAGCATATTGCAAGATAATTCTACTCCTGTCTTAATTATCTGGCGTCTATGAAAGCACTCTGTTATAAACATTAGCTACAAAAATAAATGACAGATGTAAACTCCTATATTCATTTAAAGTAATTTTATAGTGTAAGAACCACTAAATAGGAGGGGGGAGCTATAGAAAAATGTTGACCTGTTAGGACACCCTATTTGTCACCAAAGATAAAAGACAGACATTCAAAAGCCCTGAGACCTCAACCAAAAGCCTTGGAAAGACTGCAGAACTTCAGCCAACATTTCATTCTCAAGAACTTTAAGAAAAACACAGTTGTTACGGTGAATTGTCCAAATAATGGAGGTAGGATTAAGAATTCTGATAATTTACAGTAATTACCAGGGTGCTTAACCAAGGGAAGACAGCATTTCAATAATGGTAATACAGTCCATAAAAATATTAATAGTATCAGATGAGTGACCAGTGCCACACAGTATCCTCAGGGTACTGACTCCAGAAGCAGCCACACCAAGGTCCCAGCTGAATGTCACAAATGCAGTTCATACCTTGGGTTGTTCTGATAAGAGGAGTATAATTCATGCCCTCCAAATTTTGTCTTTTGCTGACTGTATTTTGCCATATATAATGCACCCTTTTTTGCCCAAATTTGTGAGGGAAAAATAAGGATGCGCATTATACATGGATAGTACTAATTCTATATCTATATAAATGTTTTTAATTTATTTATGCTTATGAGTTAAAAGTCTTACTCTAGAAATCAGTAACGATATCCATATGCAAAATAACACTCTAGAATGCAATAATTGGTTTTGTTGAACTCATGAAGAAGACGAACTTGCAACAAGTTCTTGGCCTTCTGTTATGCGTAAATATCGTAAATTTGTTACCAGTATATAAAATTCCTTGTACCTTGTTATCTGTTCTTGTGTTTTATAATTATTTATTACATAAAAGTTCTGGTATCATAGTATGTTAAAAAAAATAAATGCTAAAATTTCTTTATAATACAAAAAACAAGTACCTAAATGTAAACAAAAATTTGATTTAAAAAAATTTAAAAGAAAAGATTTTTTCCCTGAAAGTTTGGGCCAAAAACATGGGTGTACATTATACATGGGAGTGCATTATACACAGCAAAATACGGTATATTAGGGCCAGCCGAGTGGCTCAGTTGGTTAAGAGTGCAAGCTCTGAGCAACAGGGTTACCGGTTCGATTCACACATGGGCCAGTGAGCTGCGCCCAAGCTGAGCTGCTGCTGAGCTGCCAACAGATGGCAGGATGCCTCAGTTGATGAGATCACATGCTCCTAACAACAAGGTTGCCGGTTCAACTCCCGCATGGGATGGTGAGCTACGCCCACCCGCAACTAAGGTTGAACACGGCACCTTGAGCTGAGCAGCAGCAAGCTGCCGACGGGCAGCTGGATGACGACTGGACTTGGAGCTGAGCTAGCTGCGCCCCCCACAACTAAGATTGAAGGACAACAACTTTAATTGGGGACAATTCCCCAATAAAAAAATCCTAAAAAAAAAAAATACGGTATATTAGCACCTCAGCAAGGTATCATCATGTCATGATGGTTTTGTCAAATGATAGTTCCTAAGTAGTGCCACACCTGTCTTACTTACCTTTTGATTATTTTCCCCATTCTGTGTTTACTAGCAGATAAAGCAGTTTAAGAGGCTATTAGGGGCTGGCCGAGTGGCACAATGGTTAAGAACTGGCTTGGGACGCCAGAGGGCCCCAGTTCAGATCCCACATATGAGGACCAGTGACACTGCCCTCTACAGCTAAGATGCTGAACAACAGCTCAACCTGGAGCTGGGCTGCCGTGAGTCACTGGCGATGGTGTAGGCTGCAGCCCCTGTGGCAGTGGGTTGCCATGGGCTACCGTGTGTAGCCAGCAGCCAGCGTGAGCGGCCAGTGAGCGGCCGGCGACTGATCTGCCTCTCCTGGGAAGAGCGCAATGATGGTGCCAACTTGGGCCAGTGAAGCAACGTCCTCCACAACTAGACTGAAGAACAAAACAACAGCAACTTGTCTGTTCCCCTTCCCCCAATTCCCCAGCGCTGTTCCCATCCCCCCAATTCCCCAATAAAAAAAATCTTTAAAAAAAAAAGAGGCTATTAGGTTATTCATAACATGTATTTTAAAACATTTTAAGTGCCTTCTGAAGATTTTCACAATCCCCTATGTTTTCGGCAATTAACGGAGTTAGGGTTACTTTCTTCCACAATCAGTATGAAAATTACATCCATTTCTTTTCCAATGCATGGCATTCAAGGTAATTAAGCAGCATTTTGGTAAAGAGAAAATACACCAGATATATCAACAGGATGGTCTGGTATGCAGTTAATAAAATGATAATCATGAAGGTCATTAGAAACATGGAAAATGTTTGCCATATACTACTGAGAAAACACACAAAATATACCACACAAAATATACATATACCTAGACATATATTGAAGGTAATATAAAAAATAAAAAACAGTTGTGTTAAAATGTAGGAAGTTATGTTAACTAGCTTTAGTGCTAATGTTATGTTGTCTTTTAAATTAGAATTTAAAAAGGAAAAAGGAAAAAAAGCCAAAATAATTTGACACTATGAAAATAGTCAACTAATATTATAAAACAATCTTTAGTATTTTCAAAGTGGTATCTTAGGCATCTTTTCAAGGGCAAAGTCAAAAACAGGGACAGCTTAAGTGACCATTTTTTTTCCTTTTTCTGTCTGTTTCCTCCAAACATAAAACTAGATTATTTTCAGACTACCCAGAAGCCACTAAGAAGTACAAACAGCAGGTGATTGAATGTAATTCAAGCCAGGTGTTCCCCAGCCTTAAATATTTGTGTGAGAGCACTTGTGCCTGAGATGCTTAACACAGTGCTTACAATGTAAATTTCATAATTTAATAATTAAATTAACTACCAGGTATCTATTGCAGAATATTTAAATTTAATAAATTATTAAAATAAAATTATATTAGCTTTCTGACAAAATTTTCATATGAAATCATAATTTTAAAACAGAAATATTTCAAGCCCAAGTTCCCCAAAATGAACTGCTCCAGAAGCTCATGTAATTGCATAGTTTTATTTTTAATACTGTAAAGAATATTACACAATCTGGATAGGTTATCGTTGCTATGGAAACTATAAGATATTTGCAGTAAGTCAAAAAGTACAAAATTAACACATCACATTAATGACTTTTGAATTTCACATCCAGGCTGTCAAAGGAATTAGAAAGCTTGAGCAGAACAGACTGAAGCATAAACTTCTTACTCTGAATTATATGGGTAGGATCTAGGAACAAACCCAGAAATTATTTCACTTAATAAGTTTAAATATAACTTCCATCTGCTAAATTAATAAAATACTCAAAGATATGCAAACTTAAGATTTATTTGCAGCTTTTTGATTGAAAATGAAAGAAAGTACATACATCATTACCATTTCTCTTGTATATTAACTGTCAGACGTAAGTGATGATGTGGCACCTCTGAGGTTTACCATATGAAGAAGTGGCAGAATCCCAGCAGGCATATGGGGCTCACTTTCACCACGGTACTATGTCAATGTGAATCTTTGGTCGGATGCCAATTACTTAGTTATGAAACTAAAGATGGTCCTTTCCCGCAATGCCCACAAATATTTCAATGACTAGCACATGGGGCAGGGAAGCTTTATTGCTCTCAACCCATGTGAGTGCCCCTTTCCAGGAGTTCCTCCAAATGGTGGTGACAATTCATGCCCCACAGCTTATATGTCTCAGGTACACATAATATTAAGTATCATAAAAGTATAATCTGCTCTGTCACGTGACAAGGCTGAAAAGCCGGTGAACCTGGTCTACACTGCTCTGATAGCCTAGCTTTTACAGGCAGCTTGGTTCTTTCTTAAAACTATTTTATTTCTAAATTACTCTTATTTCTAAATAAAAGTAGTGTATTATTTACTATAATAAAGACAGACAAAGCAATTTCAAAGCCTTCAGGTAAACTGCTCTCTAAATTTTAGTGCATATTAGATAATATGGCTAGAGCAACTGCATATTGAAAATAATCTAAGGAGTTTACTAAATAAATCCAGAATTAAAAATATATAAATGTGTAATATAAACATGAATATATTTAATATAGAATTTGTTTGGTTTCATGACATTTCTCCTACATGTTAGCAATGTGTATCAAAACCATGCAGGCTTCACTTTCCGCAGTCACAAAGAAAGCAATTGTTCGACAGGAACATTATGCAACAACAAAATAGAAAAATTAATTTGGCAGAGACTATGATCCCATTACTTTTTCCATCTGAGACACTATGTTCTAGAAAACTCCTGATGCAAGCAATTCTATAGATAGTAGAAAAAATAAGAAACACATAGCTGTGCAAACTATATAAATCATTGCCTTAAGATAAAAGCTTTAACCAGGCTCAATGGTAGAATTTAAGCATATTTCAGGGAAAAATTGCTCGGCCTAAAGAAAAAGGGTCAGTAGGAATGAACATCTCTTGAATGGAATATTAGGGACTGGTTTAAAGAAAAAGACAGTCTTATGCCTTTCAATACCCTTTCAATGCCAGTCACTTTTAGCAAGGCGACGCATCATTCAGCAGCCTGTATGCACAATTATAGTTAAGGTTTGGCCAAAACCTCATTTCTTATCATCATAACTAAATAGGCCCAAGGCTTTTAGGCT